GGAGGGGAGGCTAAGCTCTACCCAGGGGCAGCTCGGGGGCGCAACGGGCACCAACACGCGGCGCAAACACCCACGACACTAAACCCCCCCTCTCGCTGCTCCTCCCCCTCCCCCCCTCCGCCACACTGTCCAACCGCCCGCTGACAAATTACGTGGGAATGGACTAGCAGCATTCGCAGCGCGCGGAGCAATTCGTCATTTCGATCCCTCTCGAAGCGACGAACAGCACGTGTGTGGAGAGCAACGGGGGACATGAGAGAAGAGGGGGGGGGGGCGTGAGCAAAAGGGGCAGCAAGTCCACAGGACAAGTGACACGACAGAACACACAAAACAAATATACACACACACATCAGAACAGCTGCGCTAAAGGATATTCAACCATGGCCTGGACGCCATTCTTCTTAAAGATGACGATGCGCTGTACGTTTCCGCTCGGCGAACATATCGTGTGGATCACCTCCTGCAACAGACACAAGCAACACAACAGAATTAATTAAAGCCCCAACAAAAGTGCGCATGTAGCGGTGCAGCGGAGCGCGAGGGGCCGCGAGCAGGGCCAGGCGCGGAGGGAGCGGGGGGATACAGGTGCTAAACCAAAACCCTAATAACGCGACGCGCCCCCGGCGGCCACAGCGAAATCCCACTCCGAAATCCTTTCATCCAATCGCAATCCCTAACCCGTGTAATCCTCCGGGCCGCACTTAACGGGGCGCCGCGCAGCAGTCGCTCGTTACCTGACAATGACGCGGCTGTGGCCCGGGAGGAGGGGGGGGGGGGAGGAATATGAAGCTATCGTGGGCGGACGGGCGCGGAGGGGGAGCAGAGGCACACCGCGGCGAACGTGATAATCAACGTCATATAACCCAGCCTGGAGGGGGATGCGACAGGAGCGCTTTAGTTGACAGTGAGAGCATGCAAGCGGTCGAGCGCGCGAGGGGGAGAGCCCACCGGACCAGACCCAACAGACAGGCATAGCGAGCGAGGGGGAGAAGGCGGCGCAGGGGGTGAGCAGGGAGATAGAATGCCATCAATAAAACGACAGAGCGCCCACCTGAGCGACGGCGCAAGGCCGGGGGGCGACAGGGGGCGCTACGCCGAAGAGGATTTTCGAAACAGAATAAGGATTCACCCCGTATAGGACATGATCATCCTACGCCGTGATGGTGGTGTGGTGAGGGAAACCAAAATAAAAAGGAGAGGGGAGGGGCGTGCGCGAACGTGGGAAGTGAGCGAGGCAAGTAGGAGGGGGGGGGGGGCATGAGGGGCGCCCCGATTCACTTTGCGTTACAACGGATATTTGTGATTCTCGAGGGTGGTATGGCCCCGCCCCGCCCCGCCCGCGCCACACGCGCGGCCGGAGGTAACATATTGCAGATTGGATATCGATTTGGGCGCCGCCGCTAGGTAATTAAATCTTGCTCTAGTAGAGGAGGGAGCTTCGCGCGCAGCAGGGCGGTGCTGGGGAAGGGGGAGGGGGGCAGCCAAACCCATACCACGGCTCAGCCAGCCAACAGCAGCAGCAGCAGCAGTCATAGGGGAAACCGGGGAAAAGGAAGTGGATAGCCGGGTGGCGGCATTGCTGCAGTGCTTTTTGTACCGGACTGTCCGTCCCGGTCACGAGGGGCTGCCGCCGGGGCTGCCGCACAGAGGCCGGGGTGAAGCCCCGCGAAATCTCGGTCCGCCTGGCCGTGTCGCACAACACTGCCTCGGGGGCCGGGGAGGTGTACGCTGCCCCAACACCCCGCCCCGCTGTCACGGACCCTCTCGCGCGGCACGATGACCCGACCCCAACGCGATTTCACACTACACGTTGTCGTGGTGGGAAATACACACCCAAACAGCCCCGGAAACGACGAAAATGAGCGAAAACACCGACACGCGCAACCGTTTGCACCCGGCCAGCTCGGCTCCCGACCACCTGCGCGGCGGGCTTCCTCGGGACGGCGGGGACGTGCTCCAAACAACACACTCGGCGTAAATCACCGCGCAAACATCGCCAAAATCCCACCGCCAGGTTGCACGACCTCGCCGCCGTTAAACACAACAAGATTCCACCACCACGGCTCCCTGGCCGCTCCCGTCGCACCGCCACGTGTGTGGCGCCTCCCTTGGAACCGCTTCAAAACTCACACGCACAACGCTCTGTCTGCCTTCTCTCCCATTTTTCCCGTCTCCTTCATATTATTTTTTTACACGTCTCTCTTTCTAAAACAGAACAACAACGCCGTACGGCGACCGCTACTGCTATATTTCACGGCACCTGCACAGTATGCCCCCCCCCCCAACCCATTTCAGTTTATCACGCAAAGGTGTGAGAAGCGACACATTTGTTTTCGGTAGGGGGAGAGACCGAATGAACGGGGGGCGGGGCAGTGAGGTTGGGGGGCAGTGGGTTGGGTAGGTAGGGGTGGATGTGCGCCGGATATGCAAGAGGACTGTCGGGGGACGGGAGG